TCGTACAGCGCAAAAGCCATCGTTGAAGATGACGTCTCAAAACCAGCCGTTAAAAATACTGCTGCCTGCGCTGTTAGAACATCCTGCGCCTCGTTATTGTACTCGTTCCTCGCGATCGCCTCTTTCTTCAAATCTAACAACACATCAACTAAATCGTTACGTATGGCACCAGTCTTCTCTCTTTCTATCATAACGTGATTGATGGTGTTGCGTAGAAACGAAGAGAATTCAGGCGTGAAAATTTTCACTTTAAATGTGCTAACCCAATTTGGGTAGAAGAATGCGATGAAAAATGAAAGCGCTCTACCCAACGTAAAATCAAAAATCTTTCGACCCTGTGTGCGAAATTCACCGTCTGGATTTTTCAAACTATTCGCGTGTATGCCAAAGGCAATCGATGCTATCACATCGGTGGTGAAGAGCGCACACACCTCCTTGATTTCGGTGTTGTAGGTATTGCCAGTCTTTGTGTGTTTCAACAAATGAGACTCTAATTGAGAGCCAATCTGAAATAGCAAAATATGTATAAAGAAAAAGGCTTATAGAAAAAAAGGGACTGTACACCTTCGAATATAAAGTAGTTTTGCAAAGCAATTTCGTAAATTTTCTTATGGCCGATCTTAGGGACTGCCTGTTTACATTTTTAGTCTTATCGTCTTGTATCAAGTACCCCGTTCTAGCTTTAATTTACCTTACCTGCTATTGGCTGATAGGAACTGAGGTAAGTACTAGAACGGGGTATTTCAGGTCGATGAGCTCTGGATTAAAAAATTATCTTATAAACAGTCTTCTTCTTCCTTTGTGAAATTGCATTCCAAAAATACTTTCGATGCAAAACTATACGGCCATTTTTATATGATGCGGTCTACTCTACACATTTGTTTGATTTACTTGCCTCAGTCATTAGAGCATACATTTGCTTAATTTTTCCTGAAGTGAACACCGGTGAAATTCTCGTTCTCAGCTCCTTCCATTGTGGGTTGCGTATGAAAAATAGATTATTCGATGCTAAGGCATCGCCGTGTGGATCACAAGCGCCAAAACGATTTGAGAACTTTTGAAATTCTTTGATTAGCACGGATTTGATGAGTTCCGGCTCGCGTAGCACTAAAGCTGGCTTGTTTATAATATAAATGCCGACTGCAGCTGCCTTCGACAC